CAGACTGAATTTTATCTCCCTCAGCAAAGTTCATATATTGAAATCCTAATTACCAGTACCTCAGAATGCAATCATATTTGGAGATTGGGTCTTTAAAGAGGTACTTAAGTTAAAATGAGGTCATTAGGGTGGGCCCTAATCCAATATGACTGTTTTCCTTATAAGAAGCGGAAATTTGGACACAGACATATACAGAGGGGAAGACATAAGGACACAGGGAGGAGATGGCCATCTACATGCTGAGAAACCAACCCTGACATCACCTTGAGCTGTTCAGCTCACCTGAACTTTAGCTTCTGAGGCCAAGAGGCCTCAGAAGGAACCAATCCTGCTGACAACTTGTTCTCAGACTTCTAGACTCCAGAACTATGAAGAAATAAATTAATGTGGTTTAAGCCACCCAACCTGTGGTACTTTGTTATGGCAGCCCTAGCAAACTAATACATTAGTTATGATACTATACTACAGTTTCACAAGATGCCACCTTTCAGGGAAACTGGGTAAAGGGTACATAGGATCTCTTTGTATTATTTCTTACAACTTTACATTAATCTATAATTATCTCAAAAAGGGAAAAATGAAAAACAAAAGTGGTTCTGAGGTTCAAATGCAGGTCTTTCTGTTGCTAAAGTTATGCTAAAAAACTGACACAAACTTTTGATACAGTTCTGTGTCAAAGGGCCATCAATTCTGAGGCTGAGTCAAAAATCCAAACTATGAATTCAGACTTAGGTGATTGAAGTGGGTGCTGACCTAGAGTCTTAGTGGTGACAGGTCAAAGGTAGCATTTTGCACTGGGGTTTTCCGATTTTCTTTATTGTGGATCAATACTTACTGACTACTTTCTTCCATATAGAAAGGACTCTATTTCATAGTCCCATATCTGAGAGTGGGGAGTGACCTCAAGCTCTGTTGCTTTCATATATAAGTGAATCTACATCACCAGATCTTAAAGGTATTTGACACCACACAGTGTTCTGTGACTTTCCAAAAGTCATACTGCATAGTTCTAAGTGCAACTATTTCATAATGATTAGGAATATATCGCTTGTTACAGACATTTTTGGTACCACATAGACCTGAAATGCATGTCAGCTACATTGGGTCTTCGACTGAAAATAGTAATCTGAACTAAAGAAATAGTAGTCTGTTTCCATGCTTAAAAAATAAAAATCTAAAAGACAAAATCTCTCTGTTGAACTCGGGATGCTTCTGTCTGTTTATTATGCAGTTAAGGGATTTTTGTAAGGATTTTCAGAGGTAATTTTGACTTTGTGAGTGTTTTGCTTTATCTGCTGACTTTAGAAATTAACCTCCTCATAAAATCCAATCCTACTTTGCTATTTTGACACTTCTTTTGTCTGAAAGTATTCATTAACATTTCACGTAATTGCCCCGTTTCAAGAGCAAGTATATAATTTCCTACAGAGTGAAGACTTCATAATGCATACCCAATAAAGTCCATCCCGTCTGCCAGTAGTTGATGCCTTAGTCTTACTATGGACTTCAAAGAGATTTTTCTGCCGTGGATCCTGTTGAATCTTGTTAAAAGGTTACCACCGTTAGTGGCTGTTTATAATATCTATTATTCCTCAGTCATTGTTCTTCTGTGAACTTCTGGCTCTTTTCTATATACTGCTAGTGATTGTTGCCAAGTCAACATATAAGATTTTAAGCAAAATTGATCAGAGTACTTTCAAAGCTTTGTTTTTACCAAGATAGCCATGTAAATATGAATCTAATTTTGATAATAAAATTGAAGAATAGGGAAAGCCGTGATAATGTACCTATGAGAACCTATTTTTTAGTGGAATATGAAGTCAAGGATGGGCTCATTGAAACAAAGATATTTTACTTTCTGACTAAGGAGTAAATTATATAGCACTTCAAGAAGAATTTTTTTTAAGCAGGTATACATTTTTTTTCTCAGAAATTAAAAGCAATCATGGAAACAGATTTCACTTTATTATTTTTTCCACTGACATGACCTATTATTATTTTTATCAAACAAACTACACTTTAAATGCTTTTTAAAAGTTGTAGTATTATTAATCATATGGATAATTCTGGTGTTCATAGGCTAGTAACTGATACGTTTTTATAGGTTTCTCTATTTCAGACTTTGAGAGAAATAGATTCCTTGGCCCCTCTATATAGACTCTATGTGTTCTTTAGGAAAACCCTGGAAAAAATTCAGTCAGTTTTTCCACATTGATGAATGTTTCAGCCAGTATATCTAAGATCCAGAAGCTGGGTCTTCATTTCTTTTTTTCATGTTTATAATGTAACACACTGGATCTCAATCTTTAGTGACAAACAATCACAGTAATGTTTACATACAGGCTGCTTGATTTCTGGTATCTGTCAAATATTATAAAATGAGCTTTGTTGGCTCTTAAATCAGAAGCACTGTGGCTAACTGATCTGATAGTCTGCATAAGCTGCATCGAATTGTTCCTTTTGTATTACTATTTATACTTAGATTTGTCCTTTCCAAATCAAAAATAGTTTCACATTTGGCAGTTGTTTTTTCTTAATCCTGTGCTGGTATGTGAAGTTGATAGCAATACGGTACTTCGTCCAAGAGATTTCATTAATTTTTTGTACCAGAAACAAATAAATATGAATGACCATGTTCCATCTTTATAAAATTAATGAAAGCAAATCCCCATTAATACATATATGTATATATAATTACAATGGGTAAATGTTGATATTATTGCTATTATAAACCTCAAAGCTATAAGGACATCATTGTATTTTCTCCATTCTGTGAGACTGTTTAAATAAGCCATCAATATATATAAAATCAGAAGCCATAAGAATAAAAATTTTACTTTTTAAAATTTATTTATTTATTTTTGGATGCGTTGGGTCTTCACTGCCGTGTGAGGACTTTATCTACAGCAAGTGAGGGCTACCGTTGTGGTTCATGGGCTTCTCATTGCAGTGGCTTCTCTTGTTATGGCTCACAAGCTCTAGGTGCACGGGCTTCAGTAGTTGCGGCACACAGGCTCTAGACGGCATGTGGGATCTTCCCAGACCAGGGCTCGAACCCAAGTCCCCTGCATTGGCAGGTGGATTCTTAACCACTGCACCACCAGAAGTCCTAAAAATTTTACTTTTTATTAGAAAACATAGGATGAAAAGAAAACAGCCAGAAAGGTTTATAGACATGGAACTCTATAACTGTTCTAGGAACTGATCCTATAAATGTCATTGGGTACAGATAGCTACTTCCAGCTCTTTTAAATCATCTGCAGAAGGGCAATTTATGTATTTCTCTTCATATTTACATATACATCATTCTTCTTAAATAATCACTACCTTAAAAGTAACCACAATTTTCCATTATTAAGCACCTAATGTGTTCAAGGCTCTATAGAGCTTATAGAAGTTATACTTGATATTCATATATTAAATCTTATAGCTGTTTGTGATTGTAAGTGGAAAAAAAAATGAGTATTGAGTTTTAGGTCTGGTGATTAATAGGGTGATAAGAAGAATGAACCAGAAATTGAAAGAATGTGTTTATAGCCTCTTGTAACTTGGGTTCCTCCAAGAAGCAGAGCCTGAAATAAATCTTTCATGCAAGTAGTTGATTTGGGAAAGGGACCCAAATAACAGAGGGGCACTGAGAAGAGTGAAAGAAGGAAGGAGGGAGGGCTAACCCAAGGGTGTGTTCTTGAGTTAGCTATTCCTGTGGGCAACTGGGGCTTAGTCTTGGTGGGGATGTTTTAAGGAACCATGTAGATGACCCTTCAGAATTGTCAACCAGAGACACTGAAGAAAGGAGCAACTTGGCCCCTACAGGCTAAAATTAACACTGGAGGGTGTTAATTTTTTTCTCCTTTGGGATTCTCTCTAGGAAGCAGAGAATTCCTGGGACAAGCAAGACAGACACACAGACTAGCTGAGATGAGGCACCGTCAAGAACACCTATGCACAGCTAGTGGTTGATTCAACAGTGGCCAGAGCCAAAAGGTGGGCTGATGGGATGCGAGAGGGGAATGTGATGCCCATCTCTGACATTTATTCACTAAGTGCATTACTTGTTCACTCTTAGCACCTGTTTCCTCATCCTTAAAGAGTCAGGGGGTAACCTACCCTGCCCCTTTCCCAGGGTTAAGGATTTGTGAAAGCACATGGAAGCAATTTAAATGATAATGCACTATAAAACTGAAAATAGTTGAGGCTGTTCTAGACATGAGACATGTAAAAATACAGGGAAAACAGAGAACAAAGTGGAGGTCACAGAAAGAATCTAGAAGGACACGAGAAGCCCCTGCATATGATGTGACAGTTGTGTAGCAACCATGGACCAGGACAGGGAGACACGCACAAATGATGACAAACGTCACATTTAGTATCTAGGAAAATAAGTGTGTGAATTTAACAGATCAAATTTTCTACTAGCTAGTATTAGGAGATCGTTTCTTGCTAGAAATAAATATTGATTGAATTGATTTAGCAAATGCCTAATACATAATGCTTAGTCTGCCTCTCAGACCAATTTAAGATCATCTACATTTTATTCATGTCTGTCTACCCCTCAGCTTTAGAGCTCAAATTCACTTTATTCTGCAGTGCTTTGACAATTAAAAGACTCTAGCTGGATTATTAATTTCAGTCCTGTTTGATCTCTGAGGATTCAGCCAGTAGCTACTCTCCCATCCTCAAGTTACATGACAGTTACACTTTATTTCTTCAGAACTTTTGCAAATGTAATAAGTGTTAAATGCCAGTGTTACTTTAAATTCTCTTCTGAGCCTTAGTGTAGGTGCACGATAGATATAATCAGTGTTAACCATGTCCCATGTGCCGTTTCTCCTCCCATCAACTGGAAGGCACTATGGAGGAACCAGGCAGAGGAGAGCCTAAACTGGTGCATACTTGAATGGCTAACAGATCTCAGAGCCTAACAGCTGAATCTCTTCAAGCAGAGTCCCTATGGGCTTCCCTAATCTAGGTTCCTAATGGCTCATCCTACTTCCTTCCAGGTACCCTGTCCTGGAGAGGTGGTGACAAATACATCCCAAGGGAAAGGTACATAACCTAAAGCTGTTAATCTAGTCTTCAGTCGTGGTGTAAATGTTGAGGTAACTTCATCTGTGACATCGACCTCAGAGCAAACCTCATCTCTCATCTACTGATATTCTTAAAAACCTTAATTCTATTTTTACTTCAGCTTGAACAGTCTCTGCATAATAAATATCTATATGGTATTTCATCTTAAAACTTCAAAAATGTTCAAAGAATATCTAGTTCTTCTATTTTGAGATTCTGTGAAAGTCTGTTCTCCCCATGTGTGGGCTTTAGGACCTTAGCTAATTCCTTAAACTAATATTAGAGTGGCTGTGATGTACTGGGAACTATGTGGCCCTGGGGATTCAGAGGTGAAAGCTGGGATTGGCTGCATCTTTAAAGGCAGTCCCAGTTTGATCTTATTTCATAATGGATCTTATTAAATAGTGATAAAAGGTGGCACGAGTGACTTTGGGGATCCTGGGAGGGGAGCAATGACCAATTCAGCTTCCAGGGGGTAGTAAAAGGCTCACTACTGATGAGTACTGAGTAGAAGGAGGAGGAGAAGAAAGAGAGGAAGGAGTTTTCCTCAATGTACCTGCCTTCTCCTCCAAGTGTCTCCACTGGCAGGAGGCTAAAGTGGATATGGGCAGTAATGCACGAAGGCTGGAAAGCTAGGCAGGGCCATAGGATCAAGGGCCTTTTTTTTTTTTTCCTGGAGCATAATTGCTTTACAATGTTGTGTTAGTTTCTGCTGTACAACAGAGTGAATCAGTTATATGTTTGTATTCCTTTTGATCCAGACAAAAGAGTCCTGTTGAAGTCCTGTTGAAGAGTCCAACGTTCTCGTGAAGTAACAAGCAAATACTGACCACCTACTACGCACTAGTGTGTAGTAGGCACAATGCTAGTTGTTGAGATACAGGGGTGAGTAAAGCATGGTCCCTAGTATCTACCACACATGTGAGTGTGTGTGTGTGAAAGAGACGGGGAAGGAAACACCCAATAATTATAATAACGATATGTGATGTGATGTGATAGAATAAAGCAGAGGCACTGCTAAGCTCTCCCCGATGGAGTCCAGGGAAGTCTTTACAAAGAAGCTATCCTCTGAAGCTGAGTTTGTTAATCTTGGGTATTCTAGCAACCAGAAGTGCAATGAGAATAGTAGGTGCGGATAAGCTATGACTCTGTGTACGGTTATGGCTCTTTTTCATGGAACCATCAGCATCCACTGCAATCAGCAGCAGAATTATGTTTATGACTGTGTAGCAAATTAGAGAGGCGTGCTCTGGACCTGGAGGTCAGAGAGCAGTCTGACCCAAGGGAGCTGCCTGAATCATACTGATGTTCAAGGCTGGCGTGCAGAGCATGGAAACCGGAGTGCACTAGCTACTCCATTATATTATCTGTAACTAGGCATTCTGATTTATGGACCTTAAACATCTGTACTGACCCTGACCTGGGTGGGGTCAGGAGTCCTGTGTAACATCATTAGTTTCCTTGATCTATTAGAGGTGAGTAACAAATATGCCTTTGACTTTACTTTCTGACTCAGATTGCATTCATCATCACAACCTCTCACACCTGAATTCAACCTGTATTCTTATGGACTGCTTAGCGTTTGGCTGGAAGGCATAAATTTCTAAGTAAGGTAAGAAATTTTTTCTAAGCTGCTTATATCTAAAACTGAAAATAGGGCATGAATGAATAAAAAAGTGTATGGTTTTACTTAATGCCTTATTTTTCTGTTAGAAAAAAACTGTGACTGGTTATGTAAATTGATTTAGTGCAAATATCTACAGTCCATACATGCAAAATACATGCTTACTAAAAGGTTGTCTTGAGGGATCATGCTGAAATATTTCAAATAAGTTACCAAAAATGATAAAATGCAAAGGATGGAAGTCATAGTGTTCTGATAAAATTGTGAAGGAAGGATGAGAAATGTTTGTTTTGAAAAGTATTCTGGGAAATTTATGTCTGAGGGTATATTCTTACTTCTAATTGTTCATCTAGTTACACTACAGAGGCTTGTTAGCTGACCCAGGAATACATTTTTCCCCATATGGGGGGGGGGGGAAAAGGACTGGTTTTCCAGCAGAATCAAGTGACCTTTGAATTCTACTATAAGAAGCTGAAGTCGGGTAGAAATTTACACTGTCTCAAGCGACAGTCATTAAGTAAATCTCATTTTTAATGCCTAAGAAAGGATTCAAAAAATTAAGATTTAATTCTCATTAGGTTTATGTTATTTGGGAGTTGGGACAATAGAAAAAATACTAAAAGGTAATTTAAGTTTTCTGTGTTATTTGTAACCTGACAAAGAAATCTAGAGTTTCCACATTTCCCCAAAACTTAGAGGAAATCATTTCTGTTAAAACAGTAAGCTGGTGTCATCTCCCACATTTATAAGCATATAAGCATGTTTTAATTAAAAGATGTAATAAGTTGTAGTGGTCAGGATCATAGTCTCGGGGTCAAATAATCCTTGGTGTGAATACCAGCTCCACCATTAAGCAATTGTGTATTTTTCTCTGAGCCTTAGTTTCCTAATTGGTAAAATGAGGTAGACAGGACCTGTGAGGTTTGCTGTGAAGAAATGAAATGTATTAAAGCATTTAGCAACATGCCTGGTATGTAGAACATGTTCAATAAATATTGATTATTATTATTTCAGAATATAGATATAAATGACAAGTAATTTCCTAATCATAGCGTTAGTGGGATATTATGATATACTATCATAATACTGAGTCTCCTAAAAGTTTGGTGGTTCTTAAATAAGAGTCCTTGGGGGAAGGCTCTGCTCAGTTTCAGTGTGCGGCCCCCCAGCATGCTCTAGCAGTGGTCTGTGCTGGGGAAGCTACCGATTCCTGGATTTAGTTTTCCTCCAGACACTTAGACAAGACCAAAGCTGTATGAATATTTTGATCAATAACTGGGGATCCTGGGTGGCCCGTCCCAGCTGTGGTCAGTAACCAGGTGTACATTGTATAGTAAGGAAATTATAGATATCTTACCTCCTGAAACTGGCCGATCAACTAGAAATTCCCAGACACTTGCCTAGGAGGGGAAACTGTTCTAAACTGTTACATTACAGCATCCTCTTTGAGGCTTTGAATGAATCTCTGTGACTGACTTCCAACTCCAGACATGCAAAGATTTCCCCAGCAGCAGCTCAGGGGCTACCAAAGTGCCCAGTTACTTCTTGACTTATTTTAAGCCCTGGGAAGACCAAATTGCCTACTCAGGAAAACTCTAGTCTTTCTCAGACTTCTCCCAGGTGAGACTGGCCCTTGGGTATACACTCCCTAGGGCTCTAACCTGATTTGCCTAGAAAAGAAAACTAGGGTCCAAGTTCATTCCACTTACTTGGAGCTATAAACATATGTCATCCTAAAAATCCTGCTATTCTTGTTTTCTTTAACTTTAGGTCCTCCTAACACCATACTCTCTTTCTCACATGTGTACACCTTTCATTGGTATTCAGTTGTTGTGTTAATGCATTCAAAATCCCTCAAATTTAGCCTAAAGCGAAGTTCCCAGTAAACATTTTATGGTCTCTTTTATGATTTTAAAAAGTATATGTATTTCTTTCTTTTGTGATAGACTTTACCCGTGGAGGCTTGCTTTTCTCTGGATTTCATTTCTAGCAGGTCTCTGTGATAATGCCCTTTATTGCACCCCTTTCTGTTGAGGAATAAGATGTGGCTAGCAAGGGCAGCTTTTTATCATCTCTTCAATTTCAGAATTTTTCTCTGTAAAGACTGCTAAATGTCCCTTCAGAGGTTTACTTTTAAATTCTGAGTAATGGGGTGGGTTGGGGGTTGCTCTTCCTTTGCTCTTGATCTTGGAACTTTGTAGTTTATAAATTGTACATCACTCCTTATCAGCCGTTTAGAGTTCAGACCACTAATCCCCAACCTACCAGATATTAAGATACAAACCAGAGGTACGTAAAAGTACATTTCCAGCTTTATTAATGTAATACTTTCTGTTTCAGATGTGTCTTTGCCATGGCCACCCAGATTCTGTCCTACGTACCATCTTTGAATAATGGGGTCCTTTTTATCTAATTTAATGTAGATTAGAGGCAATGTGGAGACCACTTTCTAAAGAGAAAAGCCTTCTCTTTCTGACTCATCTTCTATCTGCCTTAGCTGAAATCACTGGAATGTCCTGTCAATTATACAAGTTCAGTGTTACTAAGACTGACTTCGCTAATATTTGTATCTATTGGATGATAAAGTTTGACATCATTTCAAATTAGGGAAATAAGTATTTCTTCTCTTGGAAAATATCCCTGTCTTATACAAGTACTTCATTAAACATTCCATTCCCAGTAATATGTTTAAAATTTTATTCATTATTTTGGGACTACCTTAGCCATATTTTTTCTTTTAAACCTATTATGGTTTAACTGGGCCTTCCTCATCATGATGTCCCAATTCACCCAATCCCTACCTCGGTCTGCACTGAGTATTTTATTTTAATTAATTAATTAATTAATTATTTTCGTTGTGTTGGGTCTTTGTTGCTGAGCATGGCTTTCTCTAGTTGCGGCGAGCGGGGCTACTCTTCGTTGCGGAGTACGGGCTTCTCATTGCGGTGGCTTGGCTTGTTGTGGCACATGGGCTCTAGGCGTGCCGGCTTCGGTAGTTGTGGCATGTGGGCTCCGTAGTTGTGGCTCACGGGCTCTAGAGCATAGGCTCAGTAGTTGTGGCCCACGGGCTTAGTTGCTCCACGACATGTAGGATCTTCCCGGACCAGGGTTCGAGCCTGTGTCCCCTGCATTGGTAGGCGGATTCTTAACCACTGCACCACCAGGGAAGTCCCCGCATTGAGTATTTTTTATTTTTTATTAATTAATTAATTTATTTTTGGCTGTGTTGGGTCTTTTCTGTGCGAGGGCTTTCTCTAGGTGTGGCAAGCGGGGGCCACTCTTCATCGCGGTGCGCGGGCCTCTCACTATCGCGGCCTCTCTTTTTGCGGAGGACAGGCTCCAGACGCGCAGGCTCAGTAGTTGTGGCTCACGGGCCTCGTTGCTCCGCGGCATGTGGAATCTTCCCAGACCAGGGCTTGAACCCGTGTCCCCTGCATTAGCAGGCAGATTCTCAGCCACTGCGCCACCAGGGAAGCCCTGCACTGAGTATTTTTAAGAAGATTTTTCCATATTTAAAATGACTTTCTTAATTTATGTATTCTTTGAATCATTTCATCTAATCATCTGATCTCTAGAGAATTTATTATACCTCTTTTAAAGCTGTGCTATATTTTTAAAACCCTAAACATTTAATGATCATTTACCTATAATTATGTAAGCAATTTTTTTTTTTTTTTGGTGATACGCGGGCCTCTCACTGCTGTGGCCTCTCCCGTTGCGGAGCACAGACTGGACGTGCAGGCTCAGCGGCCATGGCTCACGGGCCCAGGTGCTCCGCGGCATGTGGGATCTTCCCAGACCGGGGCACGAACCCACGTCCCCTGCATCGGCAGGCGGACTCTCAAACCACTGCACCACCAGGGAAACCGCCCTGTAAGCAATTTTTACAATAACTTTTGATATAGTTGCCCAAATCCCCTCAAGCTATGTTTCTAAGAGACACAGGCATCAAGCTAAAATATTTAGCAAAGATGTCTCATTTGTTTAAAGCATTATAAATACAAATCAACACAAAACCAAGATGCCCCTTTTTATTAGCAAAGTATTTAAAATACCTAATGCTGGTGGTCTTGGGGTATGACAAACACAAACATAGCTAGGGTATATTACAAAAGCCTGTTTGAAAGCAATATCTTAATAAATATAGAGCATGCAGAATCCTAGAGTCAATTTCAAATTCGTAAAATGCTAACACATTGTAAAAACCACCTTATACCGTCAGTTACTGGGAAGATCATCTCCTGGTGGGTATATTGGAATAGAGTCCTAAGAACTAAGATGCTACTGGTTATTAACTTTTTTCCTCTGAGATACATTTATTTGCCTGTGGGACCTGTAGAGAATAAAAATATGTGTATTTTTTATTCCCAGTATTTTTATCCTTTTTGATTATAAGGCAAAAAGCCTTTGGCATCTTCTAAACTCCATTTGGTAATTGTGAGTAAGGGGGTCTCATTTCTGAGTTCCAAGACTTTTATAATAGTTAAAACTTTTTGTTTATATACTATATGCTAAGCATTGTTCTAAGTACTTTTATACACATTCATGTTTAATCTTCCAAACCACCTAAGAGGTTTTCCCCATTTCTATCCAATGCCACAGAGCCAAGTATAAGATCCAGGATCTGTGTCCCAAGTCTTATTCCTTATTGGTCTTTCTCAGTAAGATCAATTACGTTATGCTTATATCCCTTCTTCTCAGCTATTATCAGACACAGATACCTAGTCATAATGTGACAAACTGTGGTCTATCCTATAATCAGTTGCCATAATTATGTCTAGAGGGTTAAGTGCTAGGTTCCGTTTTCATCTATATAGTATGTATTTAATATTTACCCATGAGCAAGGGTATATTCAAAAAATTTATTAACCCTTAAGGCAGGGGCAGTAGGCAGTCAGTGGGGACACCACCCAGTCAGAATACACACAACATTAAACAACCAGTAGGGTCATATAAATGTAAAGTGAATAGGTATCAATCAATAGGTAAA